ATTTAATACAATTTATATTTCAGACAATCAAATATAATGGAATAAATTATATCAAATGAGATGTAAATATAAATTAATGATTTATTAATAAAACAATAAAAAGAATTAAAAAAAGATTTATGCGTTCACAACAGAATACTTAATTAATTCATATTAATTATAGCTTATTATTATTATTTAAAATTTTAATTTGAATAAATTAATTATACTTCAAAATTATGATATATCAATCAGCTAATAAAAATGTCCCAATAAATAATAATTTATTTCGATTCCCATACAACACAAAGAACAAGGCAAAGTACTGTTAAGACAACCTCAAAGAACATCAGATACATTGAGAAAATGACATCTTGTGGTGTTCTTCAAGGGACATTTTAAACTTAGAGCTACCAACTCGATAAGATATGGATCTGAGGCCGCCCAATCAATCCTTCTACAGAAATGGAGGAAGTATCACCCATCTGCGTGGGTACCTTGGCCTTCCCTCCTTCCCATCAAACAGCTGCACATAGGGACGGAAAAGTCATTATGTAAGAAAAATAAACGCGAGTAGTCCCACATCCTTGCACATCAGCTAATTAAGGGGTCGATCATAAGTGTATAAGTAAGGAATACTATCTCCATTGGTCTTCTGGAGTAACCAAAAGCAAAACTACATGCTCAAAGTGGACAATATCATACCATTGCGTAAATTCGTGATTCCTAACATTAGGAACAACTAGGATAAATAAGTTAGAGAGACTATACCTTCTTGAGGCGACGGTGCTTTGCAAGGGCCCAGTTCGTCATGATAAGAGTAGCAACCACAAGAAAGATGTAACCAGCAACAGTCTGTGTAGCTATATTGAAGCCTACCCACTGATATATTTCTGTTGTGTAGTTTGCACATGTCACAATGTTGAACAGAAACCCCTTTGGGATTTGATATCCCCCATTCCCCTCAGGGCTCCGCAGTTTTCTCAGCAAGATATGACAGTAGAAGTTACACACTTGACACAGCAAACCAAATGCAAACCCAATCTTCATTTGAAAGTCACCAACAGGGCTATAAAGTGGGTGATTAACATAATATGCAATATACGAACCAAAAGACCAGTAGTAAGCGCAGTTTCGAAACACATTTGAAAGCGGTGAGGTCGCGTGGCTGAACCTATGCACGAAAAATGTTTCCATGATTCGTTTGAAGTAGTGAAAACACCAGTAGTACATTGCATACGTCTGAACCGGATGGATGACACGTTCGGCCTTGTAGCCGAAGAACTGATAGACAGGGAAGTAGTAAAAGATGGGGTAGAGGATCAAGGGGCCCAAGTATTCAAAAAAGAAGAGAGTACGATAAGAAACTTGTGGACCCAAGTCCTTGAAGACAACAGTTATGTTGTCTGAGTTGTTGCTACAATACTCTTTGAGGCTTTTCTTGTAGTTAAGAACGGTAGGCCTCTCCTTTGAACCAGGTTGAACTGGAAGAGTTAACCGCTGCCTAGCAGGGTAGAACTTTTTGGCTGTTTCAATGAAACAAGGAAATCAGGTAGCTGCACTTTACATAACAATTGATATCGACTTACATGTATGCATGCTAAAGACTACCAATTTGCTACTGCTTAAGAACCATTTTACCATTTTACAGTAATGAAAGAACTAATTTTCAGGAAGGATAAGATAGAAATACTTTATTATGAAGTAGTGAAACATATTTTGATTCCTTACCCGTCAGCCGTGCAGTTTTTGCAAAACATTCTTTATAAAAGAGTAGAAACCTCTTCCTAGTCGATGCATCTTAAAACTTTGAAGGGAAGCTTTGAAGGGAAAGTCCAAAGAAGACAATATCCAGTAGGTTTGGACTGTTACAAATAGTATTAGAGACAGACACGGGGGCAATGCGCCAGTGAGGAGGTTGAGCTCCGAAGGGGGTGGACACGAGGCGGTCTTCCAACAAGGACGTCGGTCCCCATAGAGGGTGGATTGGGGTCCCTCATCTATTGGAAAAGGGAAAGAATGTCAACAAAGATGCTGAGCCTTTTAAGGGAGGTGGATTGTGAGATTCCACATCGGTTGGGGAGGAAAATGGAGGTGGATTGTAAGATTCGTTGGCCCAAATGGGGTGAATTGTGAGATCGCACATTGGTTGGGAGGAGAACGAAGCATTCTTTATAAGGATGTCAAAACCTCTCTCTAGCAGACACGTTTAAAACCTTGAGCCGAAGCCCGAAAAGAGAAGCTCAAAGAGGACATGACAATATCTGCATAGCTGTTACAGTTTCACACCCAAAAGCTTAAACTGTTGTGCTAGGCTAAACTTAATCTTTAGATTCATCCGTTTAACAACAAGTCCAGTTCTATCACTCACTCCAACAAAAATGTCAAATCTAAGCTAAGATTTCTAACAATTCTAAGCTAAAAAGAACATGTATGCAACAATTAAAGAAAACATTCTACCCTCATGTACTCACTTCGCTTGTAAATCGCATCCTGCAGATCCGCCACCGAAGCCTGCAAAAGATTAAACAACAATGTCCATGAAACTTAAAATCCCATCAGCTACTCAACCGTAAGAAGGCAAATTAATAGGCCTAGAAACAGAACACAGCCACCAAAACAAGTTGTACTCTTATCACCCTTTCTTGTTTTCCAAGAATCGAAAAAGAAACAGTAATTGAATCAAAATCCGAACACTTACAGAATCGCTTAGTTGAATGCCGCCGTCAACAACTTCTCTCCCACTGCGAGAAACTACCGAGACCTTCATCTTCACAGCCAAATTAACCCCACTGTGATTTCAACCCAGATCCTGAAATAGCAGAATGAGAGGACCAAGAACCCAGAAATGGTTATACGATGAGATCTGATAAGGGATTTTATTAAAAAAATGGCGGAAGTTCTCTGGGTTTGAAGTGGGTTTTGAAGGGGGAGGTTGGGAAGTAGGCTTATTAAATGGCGTGCAGTTGGGGTAGGAGAGCTAATTCCAACGACGGATGCAGCGCGTTCCTCCTAGTCATCTCCTCAGTACAAATTTACAATTCGACGCATTGAAAATGTTAAAACATACTAAATTAAATATTTAACCCAAAATCGAAAATGTAACAAAAACAAAAAAAAAAAACAACGGGTTTGCGAAGCTGAAGCCGGGCCGGAGCCCTGGACCGGTTATTTAAAGGGCAGTTGGCGGGCAGATTGAATAATGAAACCTTTTTAGGGTGAGAAATTGATATCTTTGTACGGCGTTGAGCTGAATAATGGCTCAGAAATTCGGTGGTCGGTTGCTCCCCACTGGAACCCCCTCGGTGGGTTGGTCCTTCGTCGTCGTCATCTCTTCGCTTCTCGCCGGCGCCTCCGTCGTCCACAACATCTACAAACCGAATCTTGTATTCTCTCAATCTGTTATGTTCTTAAATACGTAGAGTGACTCTCTGATGATTATTCATAGTCGGAAATATGGTCATGTATATGACGATTGCTGGGTGCAATTTAATTTGATAATGCCTATAACCTGTTTGATGAAATGTTCACCTTTTATTTTTTGCCTATTGTCTTCTTATTTGAGTATAAGACTTCCATTTCGGTTTCTGATCAATGAGATTATGAACAATTGTCTAGCTATGTTCTTGAAATCAGATATCAATTTCAGCTTCTTCTTTTTCCAGAAATTAGGTGTGTGTGCCGTGTGCAATTTAACTTGACAATGCCTGCAACCTGTTTGATGAAGGCACATCTTATACTTCTGCCTACTGTCTTCTAATTTGACATCTCCTCGGATCAATGGGATTCAGAACAACTGTCTAGCCATGTTATTGAAAACAGTATTCCATTTCTCTAGTGGATTTCCTTGTTCTTTTTAATTTTTATGTCTATTCTTTCACCAAAATTTTTAAAACACTTTTAGTAGGGAGGGAGAGTTTTTACTTATAAAAAATGCTTCATTTTCGGAGGGAGAGTTTCTACATTCTTATAAAAAATGTTCATTTTCTCCCAACCGAGGTGTGAGATCTCACAATTCACCCCACAATTCACAATCCACAATTCACCCCCTTCTGGGCTCAATGTCTTCGTTGACACTCGTTTTCTTCTCCAATCGATAAAGGACCCTCCCAATCCACCCCTTCAAAGCCCGACATCCTTACTAACATACCGCCTCGTGTCTACCCCTTCGGGACTCAGCCTCCTTACTGATACATCACCCGATGGCTAGCTCTAATACCATTTGTAACAACTCAAGCCCACCGATAGTAGATATTTATTTTTTGAGCTCTCCTTTTAGGCTTCCCTTCAAGGTTTTAAAATATGTTTGTCAGGAAGAAGTTTCTACACCGTTACAAAAAATGTTTCACTCTTCTCCCCAATCGATATGAGTAAGATTCTTTATACAAATGAAAATTTCAGTTTATTGTTTCTTAAGATAGGATCATATCATGTGCTGCGTGCAACTTAACTCGTTGGATGATGAAAATTTCACATCGGCTAATTTAGGAGATGATCATGAGTTTATAATCAAAGAATACTATCTGTATTAGTGTGAGATATTTTGGAAAACCAAAGTAAAACCACGAGAGCATAAGCTCTGTGATTCTTTAACTTAACAATGAGTGCAACCTGATTGATGAAAGTTCCACCCTGAACTTTATTCCGATTGCCTTCTTATTTGAGTATAGGTCTGCTGTTTCCTGTTTCTGATAAAAGGAATTCAGAAAGACTGTCTAGTTGTGCGCTTGAAATCAGATATCAATTTCAGCTTCTTCATTCTTCTTCTTCCTCCCTTTTCTTTTCCAGAAACATCTTGGGATTACTGAGCCATTTTCTGCTTCTTGCATTTCTTTTAGTACCTTTTCATAAAATGTTCGCAAGTTTGTTCTGTTCATACATTTATGCAATTGTATTACTTTATGGTTTAGCAGCATATAGTTTGTCTTTCCAGATAAATGTTTTTCTCATCGTTCAGCTCAAACACTTTTTCACACGCTTTGATGTTGAAGTTCTCTATTGTTGGGAAAGGAAAAAAAAGAATCTTTGAAAGATTGGCATACAGCTGGGTAAAAGTACAAATTCTTAAACCATACCGCAACCTCAAGGCAGGGATCGAACCCCTAACTTAAATCGAAGCCATTTAAAAACCGAAACTTTGAAAAAAAAGAAAAAATGAAGGGACATTAGAGATGATTCGAGTGGTGTTCAACCTGGTATTGACCGAGATGGCCTTGATTTTGGTTTTACTGTTCAGAACTCCATTCAGAAAGCTCATAATCAGTGGATTGGACAGATTGAAGCAGGGGAGAGGGCCTTTGGTGGTCAAGACCGTTGCCGCCACCATGCTGGTGCTCTTCGCCTCAACTCTCTACAATGCGGCGGAAATCCACCGGCGAACGGCGGAGGCCGGCTTCCTCAGCCAGACCGACGAGGTTCTCATGGCTCATCGCCTTCTCGAAGCCTCCATGATCGGTGAGCTCTGTTTTTTTCTTTAAGATTTTGTGTTCAATATATTCATGAATGAGCTGTTTTGAAATGGTTTTGATTTGGGAGTGTTTGGCAACAGGATTCTCGCTATTCCTCGTGCTGATTATAGACAGAATACATAATTACATCAGAGAGCTTCATCGACTTAGAACCAATTTGGAAGCAAGATCTGAAGCACGCACATGAAAAACATCGAAAAATCAGAATTTTATTTTAACTTTGTTTTCTATTATCTGTAAATGCAATATATTACATAATATTGAATATACCAATTAATTATTTTCACATAAAAAAACTCAATTATAATTAATTATAATTTCAAAGTACTCTAAAAAAGGCCTATATGATGCCTCATTGGGCTCAACATTTGGGCCACAATGTTATTGGGCTATGTAGAAAAAGCCCAATAAGCAAACGAAAATGTAAAATCGCTCTCCTGAAAAAAGAAAAAATAATTCATAATTTATATAATATGAGATTGTTCCTAATTTTTGTTAAACAAATATTAAAAACTATATTTTATCAATACAAAGCAAATATGGAAGACCAACACAATATTTTCAAGGCTTCCTGATGAGGGCCAAGGAAGAGAGAATTGAGACAACGGCAGCGCAAATAAACGCAAGGAGAAGAACAGCCGCCGAAGCATTTCCCTTGTCGAAAAACGAGTTTAAAAGGTTGCCAACCAGCTCTTTAAGACCGACTCTCAAATCGATGCCAGCACCTAACCCCGCCGAGGCTCCCGACAGTAGAAGATACGACAACAGCTACATAACATAACATGACATTAAACATCCTTAAATCTCGAAAGCTTAAACAAATATTAGTATACTTACTTTGTCGCTGAACATATCGAAGAGTAGAGTTCGATGGCTTTTGGTAACGACGTTGTAAATGTTGAGAGCGATTTGAAGTAGACTCAAAACAGCTCCAATAACCGTAGTTGATATCAAATATCTATACATAAACCGAACCAGATTGAATAAAAAATAGCTGAGAATTCTAAAAGAGAAAATATATTTAAAAACACACTTACCGATAAGAATAAACATCTTTAAACTTAAATGTTGTTTCATTTTCAGCGCCTTTGTTGAAAGTTTTGGAATTGGTGGCGTTGATTATGAGAGAAATGAAGATCAAAATGAAGGTCAGAATTCTTAGGATCAGTGAAGCAATTCTTGAGCCCTTTGACCCTTCCATCTCCTCCTTCCACCCTTCTAAATTTTGCTCTTCAACTTTTACTATATACACACACACACATATATATATATATATATATGGAAGCATTCTGGAGATATCTTCTTTGTAGAAGAAAAGCAAAGAAACAGTCAACAAGCTGGAATTGGTATTTTCTTGGCCAATTTTTTATTTATTATGTTCATCTCAAGATTTTCAATAAATAAATAAATAATGGAAATTATCTATAACTTATATTCTATAATATTTCCAAATGGATTGAGAATCCATTTTTTTTTTAAATAAAGTATTTAAATTATGGACTATGTCATTAGAATTCAATATTTAATCATTAATCTTAGTTCATAAAATTGGAAAATAAGGTGAAATTCTCTTCATCTGTCTTACTCTATACATTATTTAATTCTTTCATTATAAAATTGGCTATGTTTTCTGAATATCTTAGAATATTTGCATTAGTCATCTTTTTAATAATTGAATATAATTTTTTTGAACCATCGTGCACCCAAAGTTATATTTTGGACTAGGTTAGTTATTAAAAGAAGTACGCCATTTCAAATTCATAAAAAAAAAAGCTCTTGAAAATAGTTTCTTTCAGTAACCACTCAAGTCCACTGTTACAGATATTGTTTATATTGTTTGTTCGAACTTTCTTTCCCTCAAAATTTTTAAAACTTTGTTGGCAAGAGAGGTTTTTACACCATTGTAAAAAAAAATGGTTAGTTTCTCTCTCCAACGAATATGGATCTCACAATCCATCCCCTTTGAAACTCAGCATTCTCGCAAGTACTCGTTCACCTCACCAATCAACATGAAGTATTCTTTTGAAAAATATATTAAACACCGATGATGTATGATGGTTGAAAATCATTGATAATTTAATTGATGAAGTAAATTAGGAAAAAATTATGTTGAATATCGGGTGATTGAGACATAATTAATTCGATGAAATTAGATATTCATTAATCTAAATCACATATTACAAATTAAAAATGGAAAAGGATACACATACAAAAAAGTAAATAAAAATGACCATAATTTATCAAACAAAGAAACCACCACTGATTCAAGGCTTCCTGATGAGGGCCAATGCAGAGAGAATTGAAACAACAGCAGCACAAACGAATGCAATAAAAAGAACAGCAGCTGCACCACTCCCCTGGTCGAAAAACGAGTCGAAAAGCGTTCCAAACAGCTCCTTCAAATTAGCTCTCATATCGATCCCAGCTCCTAACGCCGCCGACGAGCTCGATAACAACAGATACGACAACAACTACATACAATAACATCGTTTAACGTTCATCCAAAACAACTTTTCAAGCTCTTAAAAACACTTTTTTACATGCACTTACGTAATCGCTGAACAAATAAAAGAGCGGAGTTCCTTCGCTTTTGGTAACCATATGGTAAATGCTGAGAATGATTTGAATCAAACTCAAAACACCTCCAATTACAGCCGCTGCTATCAAATAACTGGAACACATACATCCCCAAGAACATTAAATCAAGAATTAGTGAAAAAATAAAAAATAAAAAAAGACTTACCGATATGAATAAACGTTCTTAAATTCAAGCTTTGCTTCATTCTCAGTCCCTTTGTTGAGAGTTTTAGAATTGGTAGCGTTGATTATGAGAGAAATGAAGATCAAAATGAAGGTCAGAATTCTTAGAATCAGTGAAGCAATTCTTGAACCCTTTGAGGCTGCCATCTTCCAAGCTCTTGCTCTTCAACACTTACCACAATTCCAATTGCTTCTATATATATACATACATGTATGTATACAGCCTACAATACTTGGTGTTTCCTAGGCCAATTGTTTATGTAGCCTTGGAATAAATATCCTCAAACATTATTAAATTCTTTCGATAATACTTAACGGACTAGCCACTCACGTAATGGTTGACCTCTTGCCAGTTGGTATTGATTAGCTTTTTCGAGATGAATGGTGAAAAGACTCCTAATTCTAAAATATTTTAAAATTGATTCTCTACAATGGTATGATATTGTCCACTTTGAGCATAAGGCTTTATAAACCCATGATCATTCCCTAAATTAACTGATGTGGGACTTTCATCATCCAACACCTCCCCTCGAACAAAGTACGCCTCCCCATAATTGAGGCTCGACTCCTTTAGAGTCTTAGAGTCTTAGCCATTTTTTTACTGCCTTCAAGGAGGCTCGACTCCTTTTTCTTTGAAGTCCTTCGTTCGACATTTGAGGATTTACCAATCTATTGGCACGACTAAGTTTAGAGCATGACTCTGATACCATGTTAGACGAACACGACTCTCCACAATGGTATGATATTGTCCAGTTTGAGCATAAGCTCTTATGACTTTGCTTTGGACTTCCCCAATAGGCCTCATAGCAATACAAAGAGTATTCTTTGTTTATAAACTTATGATCATTCTCTAAATTAGTCGATGTAAGACTTCCATCATCCAAAAATTACTACATTTTTTTTCGATAAAATATCTAAATTTTATTTTTAAAGATTAATCATACAAATATTAATGGGTTTTCTTTTTCATATGTTTTAAAAAATTAATTTAGACTAAGAATAATAGTTTTCTTAAAATTATTTTTTTTATATTATGATTGATGTTTCTTCATTATTGGAATATTGGAGGTATTTGAAAAAGAGCCGTTGGATTTAACGTAACAAATGAAAACCGACACCACTTGCACTGTCGGACCACCCGCCGTAAATGGCGGAAGTCTTCTCTCGAATTTTTATGTCAACTAATAAGCCCTCAAGTCGTCGTCTTATCTCTAACTTGATTACCTTTGACTTTTTCTTAAGTTTGACCTAGTCTTATCATTCATTTTATATATTAATATTACACATATTTAATATTTTGGTTCTTATTAATTTTATGTTTAATCAACTTGTAAATAAAAAAGTACAAGAAATGGTTGTTATAGTTAAGATATAAAATTCAACGTTTTAAAATTTCAGAAAATTATTAGAATCTTAGTTAATAATTAAAAGAAATTAAAATTAATTATATAATTTTTTATAAATCATATTTTAAAGATTATGATAAAATTTTCTATAATTTCAGCCAAGCATGAACCAGGTCTGTTGATTGGGGGGTTTTCTTCCAGTTCAAGTTCGTATTGACCAAATTCACATTAAAATTCATTTAATTCTTTGATCTCATCTTTTCTTTTTAAATAATTCTAGGGTCCATTATTCTAAGCGGAGTTGAAAATAATTAAACCATAATGAGCAATTAATTAGCACTTTAAACCGTGATTAATTTAGTTTAGCTGACCATTTACATCATTCTTAAGAAACATGAAATTTTAAATAATTAAATAAAATAAAGAAAGAAGGAGATTAATAAGAAGAATTAATAAGCTTTTATTTAATATTACATCGCGTTTACTAAGTCATAAACCCTACAATTTCTAGAAAAAAATTAATAATTTTTTCTTTCTTACATATGAAATGTTGGTGTAACCTTCCCATCCTTTTTTTCTCTCTTATAAAAAAGTTAATTATATTTTTATTTTTGTTCAATTGAGCTTATCATCAATCAATACCTGGCGTTGGATGATCAAAGTTTCACATCCGCTAATTTAAGGAATGATCATGAGTTTATAAGTAAATAATACTCTTTCCATTGGTGTGAGGCTTTTTAGGGAGTACAAAGCAAAGCTACGAGAGCTTATACTTAAAGTAGACAATATCATATCATCGTGGAGAGTCGTGTTCATCTAACATGGTATCAAAACCATGTCCTAAACTTAATCATGCCAATAGATTGGTAAATTCTCAAATATGGAACAAAGGACTCCAAAGAAATCGAGCCTCGATTAAGGGGAGGCGTGCTTTGTTCGAGGAGAGGCCATCGTATTTATCTAACATCTAGTACGAAAATATTTTGAAGGAAAATTTCAATGATAATTATTTTAATTATTTGTTTTTTTTTTTTTTTTGGTACTTAATTAATCTCCATAGGAAAAACAATAAAATTATTATCTCGAAATGTAAAAATAAAAAATTTAGCATGAGGAATATTTCTCATTTAAAAGTACCGATATTCCTCTTCATTGATAAGTTTGACTCGAAAAAAAAAATATAAGAGCACGTGAGAAAACATTAAAGTATGTAGCCAAGTTGGTGACCAAATGAATTATAATGTAAGTTTTGACCTTAAAAAAATGGAATATTAAATATTCGAACTTAAAATTAAATTTTTTTTTTTTTTAATATGTATATTTTAACCAGCAATATATTTAGGATAATAATAATTATACAAAAATAATAAAAAAAATCTTAATATTTTTTAGTTTTTTTTTTTTTTTTTTTTTAAATGGCTAACCTTCATGGCCCATTCGAAGCCCGTTCTGTCAAGTGATGGATTTGGAGGCCCATTAGTTGCAGCCCATCGTATTGGGCTTACTTTTCTTATATTTCTTTGACCTAGCCTCCCTAGGCCCCACTAAGTTGAACCTATAGATTCTTTCTATATATTTATTAGAAGTATCTAAACTTTAAAATATGCTTTAATTTTGTATTTTGTATTTTGTATTTAATAAATAATTTACATATTTAAATTAATTTTTAATATGCAAACCAACAAAACATAAAATTTAAAATATACAAAGTAATTTATATAATAAATATTTTTAAAATTTAAGAATTTAATAAACATTTTTTTAAAAATTTTTAAAATTTATTTCATATGATCTGTTTGCATAATCAATGGAATAAAATTGGCATATTTCTAAAAAAAATGGAAACAAAAATAGAATATGATTTAAAAAGAAATGAAATGGGAAGGGGTGGAGGTTAAATAAATAAAGTTGGAGGACCTTACTTTAATAAGACTCCACTAAGTGTATGGTGGGATGTGACAAAGAAGAAAGCCCCACATAATTTTTGGACTATTTTTATTTCCAAACTTAGTCAAAAGCTAATTCCTCTCTCTTATACAACCCAACAATTAATACAATTTCATTTTCTTTTTTTATATTATTATATTTGTTGAATATTTTACCAAAAGGAATTCAAATTAATTATTGTGTGGCTGATTCAAGAATCTTACACTCAACGGAGAAATAAGCATAATGATTATTACTAACACATAATTCTCTTCCGGGTGGACTCTTCCGGGCTCCACATTCACGCTATTATCTCTTCCTTTCCTTTGATATTTGATTGATCTAGTGCTAGATGAACACAACTCTTCACAATAGTATGATATTGTCCAGTGCCGAGTATTCCTTGATTATAAACTCACGATCATTCCCTAAAGTAGGAAATGTAGGACCCGTTATTTTTTTCAAATAATCTAAGTTTATACCCGGTTAGACCCATTAGTTTTTTTTTTTTTTTTTTAAAAAAAGAAGGAAACTTCTAAAAATGGGAAAGAATCTTAGTTGCATATGATTGAGCACATATGGAAGAACGTGAGGGGTTATAAGGTGAATAAACACATGCATATTGGAATCTCACTCTAATTTTAAGCTATCTTTTTGTTTAATTTCTTGGCATAGATGAGATGAGATGAGATGAGATGAGATGAGATGAGAAAAAGAGAGAGAAAGTAAAGGAAAAAGGAAGCAAAGGACATGATAAAGGTAAAGCTGCAATGGAAACAGAGAGAACATCTTCACGCCTATGCATGTGGCCATCAACCCACGACAACAACATCAACACCACCTTAAAACACCCTTCCTATCTTACCTTGGAATTCCGAGCTCCCCTATTCATCCTTATAAAATAACCGACCGAATTAGTATGGTAATGACTTGAAAATTAGTATGGTAATGACTTGAAAAGACGTAACAGTGCTAAATAGGGGTCGATACGTCGAGATTTTGGTGATAGTAATGGGTTGGTTTTGTTTTGGTTTGGCGATTGCATTATGGAATTGTTGATCCCAAAAGAAGATGAATTCCATGAGTAGAATATTGGGTTTGTGTAAAAGAAATAATCCAAAGTAAGATTCCATTCAAACAAAAAAGAATAAAATCTTAAGAAGTAAATGATGGGAAGTACTGACATCATAACCCATCATGCAAAATTCCATCCACCCCTTTCCTTTTGCTTTGATTTCACTTTTGTTTAATCACAATCAATAGGGAAAGTAAGAGAAGTAATTAAACCAACCAAAAATGTTATGTGGTAAAGACGAAGGGTTTCTCCCTTTTTCTTCTACTTTTGACCAATTTCAACCAATTTCAACCAATTTGAATAGTGTTTGTGTGCTCTTAGACCCCTCTAGACTCCCTTTTTGAACCAATTTGTGATATAAATGGACCCGAGATCTGCATCAATAGCAAGTCTTAAACTTAATGATTGTTCTGTTAATACTATCTAAACGAGCCTACTACTTGACATATACTCGTTCTTTTGAGCTTATAAGTCATTTCGTCATATCCCATGTAAGTTGTACTCAAATCATATCATCTGGGTTTGGTTTCGTTTCCCGTTCCATATGAAATCACCGAGATAGGTTGTGACATATTTAATTTTGGACATTATTGGCTAAAAAAAGGGGGTTTGTAGGTTTGGTGTGAGGAATATATTAGGGTTTAGGGAAGAATCTAAAAGGAAGAAGAGGCACAAATTTAAATGCATTCAAACTGCAGTTTCTTTTCAGGAAGCTGAAAAAGAAAATCATAGTGAACCATTAAAACATTACCCAAAAATACGAGACCAACCTTTAAGATGGGACCTCTGAGATATTTCTAAAACGAAGATTCAAGAATGACGCCCCAAACATGCATGTATCTAATTAAATG